CCTTCACGATATGAAAATTCTGCACATCAGCCCCGAGAGCAGCATTTAAGAAAAAACAGCCAGCAGTCCAAGTTTGTTTGAGGCAGCTGGGGATTTACACCCTGCCTGAGCTGTTGAAGGATGGCACGAGCCGCCTGAACTACGGATTTAGAGCCAGAATAAATACTGGCCTGTCGAAACGCGGAACATGCAACAGCAGCAGCCAGAATCTCAGAACGATCAACATGTTGATCAGCTGATGGCACAATGCCCCTCCGCACTGCTTCATGATCGCAGGATCCTTTCGCTAAAACCACCGCCGAAGCCGCTAACCGAATTAACGGAAACTTGGGATGAAGACAAGAATCGTCAGTGAAAAGCGCAACAGGAGTGTCGTTAAACACTCTATGGATTACGGGAAACCTCTACTATCAAGATGACCTTGTACAAGTCTGCATAAAGGTAGTTCGGGCCACAGGCCATAAAAGCGAGCTGAGTCTGGAATGTCAGGCCAAATGCGTTGCGTCACAAGGTGTCTGTCCCTCACATCCGGAATCTTCCGGAGTGAGTTGCTTGTCTTGACGCCACAAGCAAGCCTGCCAGCACCCTGTGCACACCTCCATGGCCAGGACCCGAGAACATCCATCATCCATTGGAGTTTGAAGGAGGCAGTGCCGGTCCTCCTCGGCTGCGCTGGCGGGTTGTGTCGCGGCTTTCATTTTCCTCATTCTAGATGTCGAGGTGCAGGCGACGACAAAGGCCTTCGCGTCTGCGCCCAGGCCTGTCTCGATCTCCATGCCCCATGACAGTCGCTGAGAATAAAGATGCTAGCGACTGCGAAGGAGAGGCCCCTTCAGCACGTAAACTATTGATGACCTTTAGGCAGTTGTCATGAAGCCCTGCCCAAGTTGGGGTCGCTGCCACTGCATCAGCGATGCCAAACACGCAGATGCTCCGGATGCTTCGGGCAAGAACGAATTGGAGCATCTGGAACTACGAGACTCGCCTACGACAACCAGCAGCGGCGACGCTGACTGAGTTCAACGGGATCGGAGTGAACATGGCGACCTGAAAGCCACATTCAGGGTTCGCGCTGCGCGTACACGCCGCTCAAGCAGTTGCATGTGGCGTAAAGATTGGAAATAAGAACTTCAACGTCTCAGCTCTTCGGGGCCTTTGCCAGTGACAAGATGTGGATTTCTATCCTAGATGCGGCTCGAGCGTCTTGCAGACAGAACCCACCTGTACACAGGCCAGCGGCTTGCGCCGGTTTGGTGGGGCCGAATCTCGAAGTGCCACTTCAGAAGGACGGCCACGACCATGGTGCAAAAGCTGTTTGAAGCATACTCTTTACGTTATGTGTATGTCTGTGCAAGGGCGTCGAGAAGATCTCAGCTGAGGAGGCACACCTGGAGAGCTGCCACTGGTAGTACTAGGAAAGTACCCGTTGTCAAGTTGTGTCTTTGCAGCAGCAGGGCGACAGACAGGAGTGCTGGAGAAAGTTCGTTGACCCTGTCACGTTGTGAAGCATCTTGCCTCCAGGTGCACAAGCTCCTCGAGGCAGGGCTGCCTGCCTCTCAGAACTGTGCCACAAGTGGCGAAGCTGGCAAAGGCCTTTCGGATGCGAGGATTACTCCAACGAAGCACCGAGGTGTGTGCTCATTGACGTGCGTGGGGATGATCGTGCGTCTGGCCACATCGAGGCCTTTTCAGCAAGAGTCGCGGATTTGTTGTTTCACACTGGGTGTCTGGAGGGAGTCCGTGTGTCTCGTCCCTCGACGGCTCCAGGGCTCGGTGCACGAGCCCACCAGCTTCCAGGCACCCCTTTTGAACCGGGCGGGGCCGCCAAGAGTGGGAGCGGGTGCTCCGACCGGAAGCATGGGGTGTAGAATTCGTGACGGAGCTTGTCTGTTGATCTGCTAGTGAGGTGCCGGAGCTGGTGGCCAAATTCTCCAAGGAGAAGCTCGTGGCCAGCAGCTCAGGTTCGTGCTTGTCGCATGTGGCGCTGCAGAGCTTTGGCGATTCGTCTGTGGCAGTCCCTTCCGAATCTATGTGCACTGGATGCGACCACCACCCGTCTGCTGAGATCTTCCATTGCCAATATTCCCTGCACCGTGGCCCTCAGCTGGAAGCCAAGTCCACTGTTATGGGCTGGTCTGGAGCCTTCGATTCTTGTGGGACTGGTGTCGTAGCTTTTGAAGGACGTGCTTGTCAAGTGTCTGGGCATGTATTGTTTCTGCAAGTAGACCGTTCACACTGGAGGGCTGTTGGAGTGGCCGCAGGTTGAAGCGAGTTTCAGGATAGCCGATCTTAGCAGACACGGCAGGTGCGCGAACTGGTATCGCGAGCAGGCACCTCCGACACAGCTGGGGCCTCGGTCTCCGGATGAATTTCGCAGCTGTCCTCTCCTTCACTTGTTTTGTGGTGCTGGCTTCCTGCAGGGGTGACTCCGTTGAACATGTCTGTGCAAGCTGTGCAGTTTCGCAGTGATGCAGTGCACCGCCAGCACGCCGTCAATAATTTGTGTCAGGCCTTTTCTACAACGAGTGACGGTGTCGTGTTACGAAACTAGGAAATGCAAGCTTGCGGAACTTTGCAGCCTCTTCGGCTGACCCGATGAACGTAGTTTAGTAGGGTCCCAAAGTCCTGATGCTCCAGATCCGCGCTTCCAGAGACTGCATGGTCGTGGTTGAGGAAAGAAGGGGGTATTTTGCCCGTCGCAGCATCGTATCGTACGATTAGCATCGCTCGTCCTCGGAGTTCTCGACCTGATGCGAGTGGCTGTTCACCGGAAGGCGCGTGGCCGTGATGGAGGGAGGCTTCCGCGGCTGGGAAAGACAGCGTCTTCCGGCAGGGAGCCTCAGCTTTCGTGGATGGAAGGATGCAGTGCTGCTTCAGGGAGCATGTATGCACGTGGTATGTCGCAGTAGGCGTCGTAGCATGGTGCAGAAAGCTGAAGCTTAAGGCTTGAGGGTTTCTTGATTTCTGACGGCCCGAGTTTTGCAGGGTGTTCTGCATAGAGTCGGACACGTTGACATGTGCGCTGGCCAACCGCAGGTCGTCCGCGAGAAACTCATGGATGCCCATGGGCAGGCTGGGTACCCATCTGCAACTAATCGCTGCTTCCTCATGCCAGCACAAACACAGTTGCAGGATGTCGAAGGCTTGAGGATGTTGAAGCTGGAGTGGCATGCGCATGCATGGGCATTGCTGTCGTGCGACGCTCTTTGGCATATCCGGCATGTTTCGGAGCCAGACCGCCAGGCGAAGGCAGACGTCTATGCGCTCTCGATGGGAAGGCGTGTGGCAGGCAAGCCTGCTTGGAGGGGCCTCGTCTCGGTTCAATTGGACGACCCTTGATGGGCTCTTCGACATGGTGCTCAGTTGGAAGGTGCTGGAGCGTGAGGCTGCAGCAGCCCTGCCTTCTATGAGATGCATCGTAGGCGGGCCAGTGTTGGCCAGTGCTGGTGGCCGAGACGTGGCAAAGCGGACGTTATGAGTTCTTCAAGCACAAAGCAGTAGAATGGACGGAGAAACGTCTTTGCCGAAGCGAACCGGCAGAGATGCGGCTGCAGTGCCCGGTGAATCGGCAGCAGTTCATAGATCTGGCAAGTCGGACATGAGGTGTAGTTTTGACAATAGTTGGCAGTGTCAGGCAGCATGGCGAAGGACGAACTTGCCGTGGTGGGCTGTTGTTGTTTGTTCCCGGCGAATAACGCTGGGTTCTCTGAGCTCGACGAAACCGCTGCCCTTGCCAACAAGCGATAAAACTGGTCCTATTCAGGGAGCATTGAGCGCCGTGCCATGATAGACAGGGGTGAGGCAATGCATTTCGTTTCGTGAGTGGAAGCCATGACTCCCTGAAGCCGGACAGCCTTTGGCCTAAGCTCAGCGCCCCACGCATCCACGCCGAAGAGCTGGAAAGCAACGCAAACTGTAGCACGAAGCTTTGGCATTGGTTGGCCCTGACTGTACGTGGTAGCAAAGCCCAGAAGCAGTCAACGTGCGTTTTTTCCAGATGGCTAGCACGGTGAAGAGCCCAGAGTGGCTAACTGCTTGAGAGAGTTAAATGGTTAGTTGCCTGCTCAAGAAGCACGCTGAGGTTTCGTACTACTACGCGCGCGCGGCTCCAAGGGCCGTGCCTTGGCGCAACGAATGATTCATGCCGGTCTCGGCTCTGCATCTCTGCATCGTGTGTGAGGCGCCAGCCGTCGTGACGACGCCGGTGAGACAGTGCCTGCCTCGGGAAGTGTCGCGGAGTGGACTGTCACTGTCTGCCTTCTTTGGGAGAGGTCTTGCAGCTTCTGCTTGTTTTGGTGTGCTTGTGTGTGAGAGAGAGCTTGTGAGAGTGTTGAGCGAGGATCTACATCGTGCCACGTGCTGTGGTGCTGGCGACACCGCCGGCGGGCCACCAGGCTGACCGGGCTGGCGTTTGCGCTGCTGCTTCCTGCGGAAATGGAATCTTGAATCCTGTTCTGTTCGTGCATCTTGCTCAGTCCTTCTGGCCCAATTTTCCCGTCAAGGCTGTGTGTACCCCAGAGAGTGTGCAAGTGTTGCTTGGCGCTACGGCGCTGCTATGCGGACATGCAGTGTGACGGTTAGCCGTCCACCACTGTCACCACTGTGCGCTGAAGTCTGAGGCCAATGTGCCCTTGACACGACCCGTGGCTGCCGCCACCGGGCTCGCAGCTCACAGCTGAGGGATAACCGGAGTCGGGTGCAAGCCCGACCTTTGTCATGTTCTCGCATTGGATGTGTACAGTCTGGGGCTTTGCTTGCGCGCTAACCATCATGACTCGAAAGCTCTGCCAGATTCCGATGATCGTTCCCACGCGTTTGACTCTGAAGCAGGTCGCTGGCGCCTTGCCCAGCGAAGATGGACCGCCCTATCTACGTTCCTCAGGGGCACGTGAAAGCCTCCATGGCCAGGAACTGAGAAGATCCGGCAAGTGGAGTTTTAACCTTGGTATCGCTGACCCATTATCACCGGTTTCCTTTTTCCCATCCTGAGCGATGTCGAGGTGCAGACGACGACGAAGACCGTGGTCTCTGCACCCAGGCCAGGCTCGGTCTCCATGCATCTTGCGGCGTTGGCGCGGCAGTGTTGACATCGCCTGCACATCTGTGACTCGATAACCTTCGCAGCCCGATGCCTTAATCTGCCTTCGAAGTCGAAGCAGGAGCTTTGTCCCCGGGCCACCGGCACAGGACTGCGCAACGCCGGTTGAGGGGATCCGTTCGTTTTCGCATGCTTCCATCCGCTTTGTAGTTGAGTTGCTTTTCCTTGATGCCAGAAGCCAGCCTGTCAGGCGCGTGCGCACACCTCCGTGGCCAGGATCTGAGAAGATCGGGGTCCTCCTCGGCTGCGCCGATGTGTTGTCACGGCTTTCCTTTTGCAGTCTGCGCGACGTCGAGGTGCAGACCGCGACGAAAACCATCGTGTCTGCACCGAGGCCCGGCTCGAAAGACACGATCTACAACCTCCATCCATCCTCGTGTGTAGCCTTCCATTGCAGTCGGTGCAAAAAAAGGCTGCTGGGGTCTGCGAAACAGACCACATAACTGATATTCCGTCGATTGTGTTCACTGAGTTCAAGAGGATCAGAGGCAACAACGTACAAGCAACCTGAGAGCCACATTCAGGGTTTGTGCGGATTATTTGAACTCCAAGCTCTTTGGAATCTTTTCCAGCGACAAGATCTTGATTTCTGTGCCAGATGCGGCTCCAGCTGTCTGAGCACAAATCACCACGGACAGAGCCGACCTGTGCACAGGCCAGCTCCCACCGGTCTGGTGGGTCCGAATTTCGAGGTGCCCCTGCAGAAGGACGGCCACGCCCAGTCTGCAACATCTGATTGAAACATAGTCTTGATGTGGCCTATAATATGTCTCTGCAAGGGGGTCGAGAAGCTCTCGCCTGGAGAGGCACAGCTGGAGAGCTACTCGTACTAGGATAGTACACAGGGCGACTGACAGGAGCGATGGCCGTGTTGATGCTGTCACATCGCATGGGATCTTGCCTTGAGGTGTGTGAACTTCTCCAGAAGGGACAGCCTGTCTCTCAGGAACAAGTGGGTGCAAATGCACAAGGACTCAAAAAGAACACCGAGGTGCTGTCTTATCGACGTGCGTGGGGATGATCGAGCCTCTGGCTACATTCAGGCCAGAACAGCACGCTTCGCGGAGTTTGTGTCTGGAGGGAGTCCGTGTGTCTCGTCCCTCGACGGCTGCAGGGCTCGGTGCACGAGCCCACCAGTTTCCAGGCACCCCTTTTGAACCGGGCGGGGCCGCCAAGAGAGGGAGTGGGTGCTCCGACCGGAAGCATGGGGTGTAGAATTCGTGACCGAGCTTGTCTGTTGAATCTGCTAGTGAGGTGCCGGAGCTGGTGGCCAAATTCGGCAAGGAGAAGCTCGTGGCCAGCAGCTCAGGTCCTTGCTTGTCGCATGTGGCGCTGCAGAGCGGTCAGTGACTACACCACTTCGCAAAGCTGCTGAGATCTTCCACTGCCAGTACTCCATGCACCGCGGCCCCCAGCGGGATGCCAAGTCTATTGTACGGGTCATGGGCATGGGTGATCAGGATGTGATCAGGTATGTTCTGCGGACATGTTTCCAACAGTTATGTTATGTTTCAATAAACCGTCGGTCCGCACCGCGCATCGAAGTGAGTTTTCAGGATAGCCGGTCTCAGACAGCGCGGCAGGTGCGCAAACTGGTATCGCGAGCAGGCGCCGACCTCGCAGCGGGGGCCTCGGTCTGTGGAGAAATTCCGCAGTTCTGGTTCCTTCAGTTGTGCATATTGTGCTCGCGCATGCATCTCACCGTCCGAGATGGCATCCCGTCTGCGTCCATCTGTTGAGCAGCTTTGCGTAAGTTGTGTGCCTGGGTGTTGTGACTTCATGGTGCAGCCGGAGAGGTTTCTCTGCGAGATTCTGGGCTTCTATGATTTTGATTGCTTCCGCAGAAAATGGAACACTAAGTAGTAAACGCCACCGGCACGAAAGTGCCGGCATGAGACTGGCCGTGTTCTCAAACCCGGCCAGGCAAGCTGGCGGAATATTGCAGGCTTTGTGGCGGAAGTCATACATGCAAGTCAGCACGGCCCTAAAGCTCTGGATGCGACAGAGCACTGCGCATTTTGGGCTTGGCCGCAATACCCCTGGCTCCGCACACAAAAAACAGAAACCATAAGGTTGCGAAACAACGGGATACGCTTGCTTCGTATCGTCGCGTCGGCACTACTATGCCTCTCTGCACGTCCCCCCCCCCCGCCCTTCGACGTCCTTTGTCCTTGGAGTCCTCGACAAAATGCGAGTGGCTGTTGACGGAAAGGCGCGTGGCCATTCTCGAGGGAGGCTTCCGCGGCTGGGAACGCCAGCGATTGCCGGCGGGGAGTCTCAGCCTTCGTGAAAGGAAGGATGCAGTGATGCTTCGGGGAGTTTGTGTATGTCGTTGGTGCGAGTTTTTCAATTTGTCGGACATGTAAACGGCTCTGCTGGTCGACTGCAGGTCCTCCGCGAGCAACCTATGGATGCAGAAAGCCAGGCTGGGTGAACCAAGTCGTTTGTGACGCCTGCACCAGCGCAAATGCAGTTTAAGGCTTGAGGCTGTTGAAAGTGGAGTGACATAGTGCTTTGGTATGTCTGGGCCTGTCCGGCTCAGAGCGCCAGGGCAAGGCAGATATCTATGCGCTCTCAATGGGCAGGCGCCTGGCAGGCAGGGTTCTTGCAGCGGGGTGGGCCTCGCCTCACGAGACACTGCTCTGGAGTGCTATGCTTCGATGTGTTTTTATGCGTTCACTTGGCAGGTGCTGGTGCGTGAGGCCGCGCAGTGGCCGATAGTCTTTCTGATACTAGTATCCTCCGTGAGTGGGCCAGCGCTGGCAAGTACTGGTAGCCAAGACTTGGGCCATGTGGACTGTGGGTGTACGGACTTGCAGAATACGGAACACGGAAGCCGAAGGGGGCAGGCAGGGTCCGGCGAATCGCGCTGGGCATGGAGAATCGAACAGTCCCATCTTCTAGGCTGCAGAGAGATTGGGCTTTCGAAGGACATCCCTGGCTTCCAACTTACATAGCCTCAGGCGATTTTTTTCTCGTAGCCAGACCCCACGGCAGCAGTTCAGATGTGGCAAGTCGGACATGGCACTGTCAGGCAGCATAGCGAAGGACGATCTTGCTGTGGTGGGCTGTTGTTGCTTGTTCCCGGCGAATAACGCTGGGTTCTCTCAGCTCGACGACCCCGCTGTCTTTGCCAATGAGCCGAAAAGACTGGTCCTGCAGGGGTGAGGCAGTGCAACTCGCGAGTGGAAGCCGCCACTCTATAAAGCCGAGCAGGGCTTGGCCTCAGCCGAGTGCCACTGTGCTCCTCATGACAAGGCTTTCCGCATGATCCGTAGATGCTGTATGCATCCCCGGGCGCCTCACACATCCACGTCGAACATCTGGAAAGCCTTTGGCCTAAGCTCAGTGCCACCGAAAGATCTGGGCGCCCCATGCATCCACGTGGAAGAGCTGGAAAGCGACGCAAACTGTAGCACGAAGCTTTGGCAGTGGTAGCAAAGCCCAGAAGCAGTCAACGTGTGTTTTTTTCCAGATGGCTAGCACGGTGAAGAGCCCAGAGTGGTCAACTGCTTGAGAGAGTGAAATGGTTAGTTGCTTGCTCAAGAAAAGCACGCTGAGGTTTCGTACTACTACGCGCGCGCGGCTCCAAGGGCCGTGCCTTGGCGCAGCGAATGATTCATGCCGCTCTCGGCTCTGCATCTCTGCATCGTGTGTGAGGCGCCAGCCGTCGTGACGACGCCAGTGAGGCAGTGCCTGCCTCGTGGAAGTCTGTGACGGTCTGCCTTCTTTGGGAGAGGTCGCAGCTTTTTTCTATCCTTGTGGTGTGCTTGTGTGTGAGAGAGAACTTGTGAGAGTGTTGAGCGAGGATCTACGTCGTGCCACGAGCCGTGGTGGCGGCGACACCGCCGGCGGGCCACCAGGCTGACCGGGCTGGCGTTTGCGCTGCTGCTTCCTGCGGAAATGGAATCTTGAATCCTGTTCTGTTCGTGCATCTTGCTCAGTCCTTCTGGCCCAATTTTCCCGTCAAGGCTGTGTGTACCCCAGAGAGTGTGGCGCTACGGCGCTGCTGTGCGGGCATGCAGTGTGACGGTTTGCCGTCCACCACTGAGCGCTGAAGTCTGAGGCCAATGTGCCCTTGACACGACCCGTGGCTGCCGCCACCAGGCTCGCAGCTCACGGCTGAGGGATAACCGGAGTAGGGTGCAAGCCCGACTTTTGATCATGTTCTCGCGGTCATGGGGCTTTGCCTGGGCGCTAATCGTTCCCATGCGTTTGACTCTGAAGCAGGTCGCTAGCACCTGGCGCAGCGAAGACGGACCGCCCTATCTGCGGTCGCCTGCGTTGCTTGCTTCAATCTGCTTCAAGAGTGTGTTCCTCAGGAGCACATGCAGGTCCCCGTGGCCAGGAACCGAGAAAATCCGGCCACTGAAGCGAGACAGCGCCGGTCCTCCTCGGCCGCGCTAACCTATCCTCTGCGATGTCGAGGTGCAGACGACGACGAAGACCGTCGTCTCTGCACCCAGGCCTGGCTCGGTCTCCATGCATCTTGCGGCGTTGGCGCGGCAGTGTTGACATCGCCTGCACATCTGTGACTCGATAACCTTTGCAGCCCGATGCCTTAATCTGCCTTCGAAGTCGAAGCAGGAGCTTTGTCCCTGGGCCACCGGCACAGGACTGCGCAACGGCGGTTGAGGGGATCCGTCCGTTTCCGATTTCTGCTTCCCGGTTGAGTTCCTCGTCTTATTCGTCTTGGTGCCACGACCAGACCGCCAGGCGAAGGCAGACGTGTACGCGCTCTCGATGGGCAGGCATGTGGCAGGCAAGGCTTCGTCTCGGTTCAATTCAACAATCTTTGATGGGCTCGCGGTGCTTCGACATGTTTCGTGCCCAGATGGCAGGTGCTGGGGCGTGAGGCTGCAGCAGTCCTGCGTTCCTATATGTCTTGTAGATGGATTGAAGAATTTGCCAGTGCTGGTGGCTGAGATGTGGCCAAGCGGACATCAGTTGCTCAAGACGGCTGCACTGCCCGGCGAATCGCGCTGGGCATTGGTCATCGAATAGTCCCATCTAGGCTGCGGCATCATTGGTTCTTGAAAGAGATGCTTGCAGCCTTTCTGAGCCTTCCGCTCATTTGAAAGAAAAAATGAGCGGAAGGCTCAGAAAGGCTGCAAGCATCTCTTTCAAGAACCAATGATGCCGCAGCTCAGATGTGGCAAGTCGGATGTGAGGTGTAGTCTTGACATTGGCAGTGTCAAGCAGCATTCCCAAGGGCGAACTTGCTGGGGCGGGCTGTTTACTTGGTGTTGCCGGTGAAGAACGCTGGGTTCTCTGAGAACTCGACTATCCCGCTGCGAAGGAAAACGAGCCGAAAGGAGTGGTTCTGACGGACGGTTGGCCCAGTCTCTAATGGTACCCACCTGCGACGTTAAGCGGCATAAGGTCCCGTTTCGAGTTTCGCGATCCCGTGCGAGTGGCGATTCAACATGCTGTGGCACTTTGTGGAACTGGGTGTCAACCTGTTTCCCATTGTGCTGTTTCAGTGGTCCCTTCGAGTAAACGGGATCTTCAAGGGGGAGGTCGTTAATCATCGGCTTTGCAGGCCGGTGGATGGTCCGTGCATGAGCTGGATAATAGAAGAGATATCTCTCGGAGCTTCTGGCCAGGACGCCGGCCCACTTCGTGCATTCTGATGGAAGCGTTTGCACAGCTGCCGAGCTGTGTGATCGAGAGCGGCCCTCGCTCCGATAATTTCAGTGCTAGCACGAGTCTGACTTAGGGGGAGGTGAACCGGAACGTTGAGGGCGTGCCATGGTAAAGAGGCTTGGGGCAATCTAGTCTAGTTCCAGAAGCCGAGCGTCGTTTGCCGAGTTGCCGCTGTGCTCCTCAGAACATGGCATTCCGCATGATCCATACCGACGAGGGTGCGAACAGATCTGGGCGCCGCACACATCCACGTCAAACAGCTGGAAAGCAATGCGAACTGCAGCAAGAAGCATTGCTTAGCCTTAACTAGACCTGGTAGCAATGGCTCGCAACGTGAAGGGCCCAGACCGGCCGATATTTGCACCAAGTGCTAGGGGAACGAATGCCTGCGGCATGCTCAAGAATGTGCGCTGAGGTTCCATACTACTACGCGCCCACGGCGCCGATGGCCGTGCCTTGGTGCAACGGATGATTCACGAAGCATCGGGACCTCCTCCTCCTCTGCCGGGCTGAAGGGCCTTGCCAGTCTCGCTTCTCCTCTTTCGCTTCTTCTCCGTCGTGTGGGAGGCGCCGGCTGTCATGACCATGCCTATGAGGCAGTGCTTGCCTCGGGCCAGGGCAGAAATCTCGCGGAGTCGACTTGTGGGAGATGTCGCAGTTTTTGCGAGTGAGGGTTGCGCAAGGATCTATGTCATGCCTCTCACTGTTGTGCCGCCGACACCAGCGCCCTACACGGCCCACCTGGCTGGCTTTGAGCTGATGCTCCTAGCGGGCATGTTTTGACAGCCCACTCTGAAAATCTTGTCCGTACATCTTGGTCAGTCCTTCTGGCCCCATTTTCCGGCCCAGCCTGTGCATGCCCCAGAGAGCGTGCAAGTTTGCTGGCATTCTGGCGCGGCTGATGTGCGGACATGCAGCCTGACGGGCAGGTGCTCATGATACCATTGAGCTCAGAGCTGAAATCTGAGGTTAATGTGCCCCTGGCGCGATCAGTGGCCCCGCAGCTTACCCCTGTGGCACAGTGCCTCGGCAATCTCCCGGCTACGGAATGAATTGCTTTGTCGAGAAGGGTGCAAGCCCGATCTGTCATGCTCTTGCATTGGACATGTCTCGTCATGACATGCCATAACATTGCCTGGGTGGTAGCTAGCCATCATTCGAGAACTGTGACAGATTTTGATGTGTTTGACTTTGAAGCAGGTCGCTAGCACCTGGCGCAGCGAAGATGGACCGCCCTATCTGCGGTCGCCTGCGTTGCATGCTTCGATCTGCTTCCCGAGTGTCTTCCTCAGGAGCACATGCAGGTCCGCGTGGCCAGGAACCGAGAAAATCCGGCCACTGAAGTTTGAAGGAGACAGCGCCGGTCCTCCTCGGCCGCGCTAACATATCCTCTGCGATGTCGAGGTGCAGACGACGACGAAGACCGTCGTCTCTGCACCCAGGCCTGGCTCGGTCTCCATGCATCTTGCGGCGTTGGCGCGGCAGTGTTGACATCGCCTGCACATCTGTGACTCGATAACCTTTGCAGCCCGATGCCTTAATCTGCCTTCGAAGTCGAAGCAGGAGCTTTGTCCCTGGGCCACCGGCACAGGACTGCGCAACGCCGGTTGAGGGGATCCGTTCGTTTTCTTTGCAGTTGAGTTGCTTTTCTTGATGCCAGAAGCAAGCCTGTCAGGCGCGTGCGCACACCTCCTCCGTGGCCAGGATCTGAGAAGATCGGGGTCCTCCTCGGCTGCGCCGATGTGTTGTCACGGCTTTCCTTTTGCAGTCTGCGCGACGTCGAGGTGCAGACCGCGACGAAAACCATCGTGTCTGCACCGAGGCCCGGCTCGAAAGCACGATCTACAACCTGCATCCATCCTCGTGTGTAGCCTTTTATTGCATTCGCTAAAAAAACTTCTGCTAGGGATCCCGAGCGGACCACGTAACTGATATTCCGTCGATTATGATGTATGATCACTGAGTGCAAGAGGATCCACGGCAACAAAGTACAAGCACATTCAGGGTTTGCGGATTCCGTCTCAGCTCTGTGGAATTTTTGCCAGCGACCAGATCTTGATTTCTGTGCCAGATGCGGCTCCATCTTGCTGAGCACAAGTCACCACGGACAGAGCCGACCTGTGCACAGGCCAGCTCCCACCGGTTTGGTGGGTCCGAATTTCGAGGTGCCCCTGCAGGAGGACGGCCACGCCCAGTCTGAAACATCTGATTGAAGCATAGTCTTGATGTGGCCTATAATATGTCTCTGCAAGGGGGTCGAGAAGCTCTCGCCTGGAGAGGCACAGCTGGAGAGCTACTCGTACTAGGATAGTACACAGGGCGACTGGCAGGAGCGATGGCCGTGTTGATGCTGTCACATCGCATGGTATCTCGCCTTGAGGTGTGTGAACTCCTCCAGAAAGGACAGCCTGTCTCTCAGGAACCAGTGGGTGCAAATGCACAAGGACTCACAAAGAACACTGAGGTGCTGCCTCATCGATGTGCGCGCGGATGATCGAGCCTCTGGCTACATTGAGGCCAGAACAGCACGCTTCGCGGAGTTTGTGTCTGGAGGGAGTCCGTGTGTCTCGTCCCTCGACGGCTCCAGGGCGCGGTGCACGAACCCACCAGCTTCCAGGCACCCCTTTTGAACCGGGCGCGGCCGCCAAGAGAGGGAGTGAGTGTGGACTGCTCCTGACCGATCTTATTTGTGGAGTGGGATGTGCGTGAGGTGCCGGAGCTGGTGCAGAAGTTCGGCAAGGAGAAGCTGGTGGCCGGCAGCTCAGTGTCCCGTTGGCCGCATGTGGAGGCACGTCTGTCAGTGACTGCGTCCACTCAGAATCCATGTGCAATACGGCTGAGATCTTCCATTGCCAGTACTCGCTGCACCGTGGCCCGCAGTGGGATCCCAAGTCTGCTGCGGGGGACCGGGGCCTTCGAATTTTGTGGAACTGGTTCTTGAGGGCTATCGAAGGGACTGAAGGTTACAGCCGATCTTGGAAGACTCCAGGTGTGCGAACTGGTACCGCCAGCAGGCACCTCCGACGCAGCTGGGGCCCTGGTCCCCGGATGAATTTCGCAGCTGTACTTCCCTCCACGTCATGTCTTGTGGTGCTGGCTTCCTGCAGGTGTGTTTTCGTTGAACATGTCGGTGCAGAGTTGCATGTGGTGACTGGCATGGTGTAGCTGTGCAGCTGCACGCTGTGTCTCTGCGAGTTCTGATTTTGCAAAATGATACGGTGCATCCGAAATGCACGGTCAACACTTAAGTTGTGTCAGGCCTTTTCTCCAACGAGTGTGTCACACTCATGGTGTGTTACGAAACTAGGAAAGGAAAGCTGTCGGAACGTTGCAGGCTCTTTGACACCATGAACGTAGTTCAGCACGATCCCAGAGTCTCAGTCCTCAAGCTCCAGATCCGACGGTGCGCGCTGCGCCTTTTCGGATTGCGCTTCCGGACATGAAGAGAGACTGGCATGGTCGTGGTTGAGGAAGGAAGGAAGCATTTTGCCCGTCGCAGCATCGTATCGTACGATTACCTTCTCGCGCCGACGGAGTCCTCGATTTGATGTGAGAGTGGCTGTTCACGGGAAGGCGCGTGGCCGTCCTCGAGGGAGGCTTCCGCGGCTGGGAAGGACAGCGTCTTCCGGCAAGGAGCCTCAGCTTTCGTGGATGGAAGGATGCAGTGCTGCTTCAGGGAGCATATATGCACGTGGTATGTCGCAGTAGGCGTCGCAGCATGTTGCAGAGAGCTGAAGCTTAAGGCTTGAGGGTTTCTTGGTTTCTGTCGGCCCGAGTTTTGCAGGGTGGTCTGCATAGAGTCGGACATGTGGACCTGTGCGCTGGCCAACCACAGGTCGTCCGCGAGAAACTCATGGGTGCCCATGGGCAGGCTGGGTACCCATCTGCAACTAGTCGCTGTTTTCTCATGTCAGCACAAACACAGTTGAAGGATGTTGAAGACTTGAGGATGTTGAAGCTGCAGTGGCATGTGCATGCATGCGCATTGCTGCAGTGCGATGCTCTTTGGCATGTCCGGCCTGTTTTGGAAGCCAGACGGCCAGGCGAAGGCAGACGTCTATGCGCTCTCGATGGGCAGGCGTGTGGCAGGCAAGGCTGCTTGGAGGAGGGTCTCGTGTCGGTTCAGTCAACGACCTTTGATGGGCTGGCTGTGCTTTGCCGAAGGTGCTGGAGCGTGAGACTGCGTTCTATCAGAAGATCAGATGAATCGTAGGCGGTCCAGTGTTGGCCAGTGCTGGTTGCTGAGACGTGGCAAAGCGGACCTTATGCTTTGTTCAAGCAGAAAGCAGTAGACTCGAAGGAGAAACATGTTTGCCGAAGTGGGCCCGCAGAGATGCGGCTGCAGTGCCCAGCGAATCGATTTTTTTCGCTAGCCAGAGCTCTTGGCAGCAGTTTAGATGTGGCAAGTCGGACATGAGGTGTAGCTTTTACATAGGCAGTGTCGAGCAACATACCGAAGGGCGATCTTGCTGCGGTGGGCTGTTGTTGATTGTTCCCGGCGAATAACGCTGGGTTCTCTGAGCTCGACGAACCCGCTGTCCTTGCCAACGAGCCGAAAAAACTAGTCCTGTTCAGGGAGCATTGAGCGCCGTGCCATGATAGACAGGGGTGAGGCAATGCATTTCGTGAGTGGAAGCCATGACTCCCTGAATCCGGACAGCCTTCGGCCTAAGCTCAGTCGCAACAGATCTGGGCGCCCCACGCATCCACGTCGAAGAGCTGGAAAGCAACGCAAACTGTAGCACGAAGCTTTGGCATTGGTTGGCCCTGACTGTACGTGGTAGCAAAGCCCAGAAGCAGTCAACGTGCGTTTTTTTCCAGATGGCTGGCACGGTGAAGAGCCCAGAGTGGCCAATTGCTTGAGAGAATGAAATGGTTAGTTGCCTGCTCAAAACATACGCTGAGGTTTCGTACTACTACGTGCGCACGGCTCCAAGGGCCGTGCCTCGGCGCAACGAATGATTCATGCCGGTCTCGGTCGCCTCTTGTAGCCTCCTCTGCATCGTGTGTGAGGCGCCGGCCGTTGTGACGATGCCAATGAGACAGTGCCTGCCTCGGGAAGTCTCGCGGAGTGGACTGTCACTGTCTGCCTTCTTTGGGAGAGGTCTTGCAGCTTCTGCTTGTTTTGGTGTGTGTGTGTGTGTGAGAGAGAGAGGGTTGAGCGAGGATCTACGTCGTGCCACGAGCCGTGGTGGCGGCGACACCGCCGGCGGGCCACCAGGCTGACCGGGCTGGCGTTTGCGCTGCTGCTTCCTGCGGAAATGGAATCTTCAATCCGGTTCGTGCATCTTGCCCAGTCCTTCTGGCCCAATTTTCCCGTCAAGGCTGTGCGTACCCCAGAGAGTGTGGCGCTACGGCGCTGCTGTGCGGGCATGCAGTGTGACGGTTAGCCGTCCACCACTGAGCGCTGAAGTCTGAGGCCAATGTGCCCTTGACACGACCCGTGGCTGCCGCCACCAGGCTCGCAGCTCACAGCTGAGGGATAACCGGAGTAGGGTGCAAGCCCGACTTTTATCATGTTATCGTGTTGGATGTGTGCGGTCATGGGGCTTCGCCTGCGCGCTAACCATGACTCGAAAGCTCTGCCAGATTCCGATGATCGTTCCCACGCGTTTGACTCTGAAGCAGGTCGCTGGCGCCTTGCCCAGCGAAGATGGACCGCCCTATCTACGTTCCTCAGGAGCACGTGAAAGCCTCCATGGCCAAGAACTGAGAAATCCGGCCAGTGGAGTTTTAACCTTGGTTGCGCTGACGCGTTGTCACCGGTTTCCTTTTTCCGATCCTGAGCGATGTCGAGGTGCATACGACGGCGAACACCGTTGTCTCTGCACCCAGGCCTGGCTCGGTCTCCATGCATCTTGCGGCGTTGGGGCAGCAGTGTTGACATCGCCTGCGCATCTTTGACTCGATAACCTTTGCAGCCCGATGCCTTAATCTGCCTTCGAAGTCGAAGCAGGAGCTTTGTCCCCGGGCCACCGGCGCAGGACTGCCCAATGCCGGTTGAGGGGATCCGTTCGTTTCCGATTTCTGCTTCCCAGTTGAGTTCCTCGTCTTATTCGTCTTGGTGCCACGAAGCCAGCCTGTCAGGCGCGTGCACACAACGCCGTGGCCAGGATCTGAGAAGATCGGGGTCCTCCTTGGCTACACCGATGTGTTGTCACGGCTTTCCTTTTGCAGTCTGCGCGACGTCGAGGTGCAGACCGCGACGAAGACCGTTGTGTCTGCACCGAGGCCCGGCTCAAAAGACACGATCTGCGACCTCCATGACCACCTTCATCCTCGTGTGTAGCCTTCCATTGCAGTCGATGCAAAAAAGGCTGCTGTGGTCTGCGAAACAGACCACATAACTGATATCCCGTCGATTGTGTTCACTGAGTTCAAGAGGATCAGAGGCAACAACGTACAAGCAACCTGAGAGCCACATTCAGGGTTTGTGCGGATTATTTGAACTCCAATGTCTCAGCTGTTTGGAGTCTTTGCCAGCGACAAGATTTTAATTTTAACGCTACGCCGCCCGCCTCGGCTGTGTAGCGGCAGGGCGAGGGGGCAGTCTTACACGCGAAGTGCCAGGAAAACGGGCACAGGGAAAGGGAGGGGGGGGGAGGGGGGGGGAGAGGGGGAGGGGGGAGGGGGGGAGGGGGGGTGAAACACTGAATGTTACACATCCAGGTGCCTGTCTGTTTCACGTATCACTTGCATGTATCCATGCCTGTTGCTCAAGGTTCTAGTGCAGTGGACTACAGCTGTGCGCCTGTAGCAAAAGAGACACCTGAGTGCCTGTGTTCCTGTACGCCTAGCGAGGGGATACACGTCCAGGTTACATCTCAACGTGGTAGCGGAGCTCCCGGGAAACGGGAAGCTTCACACTTGTGGAGGTACCCGTTCGGTACTCTCTACACAGGTGGAGGCAACCGGAATACCCGGTGTGCTTCACTCAGGTGAAGGTGACCGGAGTCTCTCCGGCACACTTCACTCAGGTGAAGATAACCGGAAGAGGTTTCTCCCGGGGCTCGATCCAAGAACAGCGCAATGGCTAGCCACTCTGCGACTATCTTTGAGCATGAAGGAGGAGATGATGACTACCTCCTCCACGGAAATGAATCTTTCGCGACTAATCATCGTCATCTCAATGAATTACACCGTCTTTCAGCTTTCCAGCAGGTGACCACCAAAGTACCTCCATCTTATGATGGTAGAAGCAGTTGGTTTGCCTATGAAGATGCGATCGATGACTGGTGTGACATTACTGAGCTAGACAATGATAAGCGTGGACCAGCTTTGAGAAATCGGCTAGAAGGTGAAGCAGCAATCCACAAGAGACTTCTCGACAGAGATCGCCTGAAGGACCCGAACAACGGAGTGAAGTACTTCAAGAGTTTCCTGCGGCCGCTTTTCGTGAAGGGAGCAGCGAATGTTTTTCTCTATCGCTTCCAGCAGTTCATGAACATGCACCGTGGGAACGGAGACATGCTTCGTTGGATTACCAGGTTTCAACTCTCTGTTCAGAGAATGCAAGAAGCGTGGAACGATACCTATCTGCCGATCGAGGACCCGAACAATGCAGAGGTCAGAGCTTTCATAGTAGGACTTCCTCCAGAAGAACAAGAAAACCTTACGCCAGCTCAGGCAATGGAGAGAGCCAACGAACGGCTCAGAGAGCAGCATGCTCGGACCATTCCGATCACGCCCAACCTGGTCGCTTTGATCTTTGTGTCCCTGTCTGATCTGACACAGGATCAGCGTCAGGTGTTGACATCACTGATGGCGCATCGGAACCGAGTCCTGGCTGACTACAACACGGCCGAGCTTCGCGAAGTCTACCTGGAGATCTTCTGTACGACCAAGACTACCGTCGACAATCCACTCCTCGCTCCTTCCGGCCACGGTGGCCGCAAGACCTTCCTTGTGATCGATGAAGGATATTTGAACGATCATGAAGGCTACTGGGTCGAGGACGAGGAAGATGGCACCGAAGGTTTCCTCGAAGCGGATGAGGACGCCTTCTGGGTCTACGACGACGAGAACTATTCATGGTTCCAGCGGCGCTTCCAAGGCCGCAAGATGAGGCGCGGATTCAAGGGCCACCGTAAAGGCAAAGGAAAAGGTGGCAAAGGATCCAAAGGAAGGCGCTTCTTCAAAAGGAAGAAAGGCAGGTCACATCTTGCCGAAGAATCAGAAGCATGGCAAGCAGAAGGACAATGGCAAGATTACCATTGGAGCGATCAGTCCTGGGATGACTGGTCCTGGTACGAGTCTGAGGAATCCTATGCAGCCAAAGGAAAAGGGAAGAAAGGAAAGAAGGGCAAAGGAAAGAGCAAGTTTGGCAAGGATGGAAAAGATGGAAAGTCCGGAAAAGACGGACAGAGCCAGCTTGCTGATGCTGCCCCGAGCGGCACCACAGCCGCCACAACCTTCTTCGTTGAACATCTCAACACTCCGAACTTTTCTTTCATGGCCACCGAAGAGAAGATCAATGAGATCGAGGAAGCCTTCATCTCTCAGCCCTTGACGCCGACCGCGATGGTGTTGGACCTGGGATGCACGAGAGCAATGGCTTCGAGAGTGGCCGCACAGGACCTCATGGAGTTCTGTGACAAGAACCAGAACTGTGGCATATGGTACACCATTGCTGAGACCACTTCTCAGTTCACCTTTGCCAATTCCGAGTCTACCAAATGCAACCAGAAGTTGGTCATTTGCATGTACGACCGGGACTTTGCAGTTCAATCCACAGAGTTCGACATTGTGGAACAAGGGCATGTTCCCATTCTCATGTCCTTACCTCAGATGCGCAATCTTCGTTTCCAGTTCGAGCTCCATCCGGAAAAGGCCTTGCTCAGCAGCCCTGTGCTGGGAATCAAGGATGTGAGGCTGAAGGTTGCACCCAGCTCACACTTGGTACTTGATCTTCTTGAACTCAGTCAGCTGATGTGGAATGTGCGTTTCAGCAAGCATAAGAAGTCGAGCTTCCTCACCTACTTCTCCCACTACGAGTACGGCTTCCATCAGAAGACCGAGGGATGCTGTTCTCATGAACAGGTACCTGACAATCTCGTGTTGGCGACTGATGATGAATGGGTGATCAACGAAGCCGACATGGAAATGATTCGCATCCACAAGAAGATGAGAAGAGTCAAGTACGAACCCAAGGCGGGTTATGTGCCAATTCCGTTGGAGT